AAGGGTTCCTCTGTACCACTTCTTGTGGGGGGCAGCAGTTTACAGGCACAGGGAACTGAATCTTTGGGCAAACCAAAGATGGAGGGACTCTTATCACCCCCATGTTTTACATGAAGAAATCTCTTCAAAAGGAGTCAATGAAGGTCCAAGGTCATGTGTCCAGAAAGAGGGGAACTGGAAACTGGAACTCAGGCCCCTGGATTCCCCTGGACAGCCTTGGACCAGTCCCCTCTGAAAGGCCAGCAGGCAGCTCAGGGTGGCCCTTGAGAGTGTAGGGAACAGTAAACACCTCTAATGTGGGCATTGACAGGCTAGGGGACAGATTGCTATAACACTTGATGTGATATCTTTTGTAAACTTAGTACAGAGCATGAAGATTATTGGAGTATCCTAAAGTGCTTTCCATTACCTCCCTTAGGACAGGTTTACACAGTTTCTTCTCATCCCTCTCAAGGCACGTACTTGGCCACTGATAATTGGTTGTTGCTCTATCTGTATATGATTATTAAAATGAGTAGGTGTTTTATCTGAATATTACTTGATACTTGTGTTTTAAATGAAATATCTTTATAAGAAATTCCATTTATTTATATATAATAGCCATGAGGAGTGTCTTGAATTGCTTGTCTTAGGCCAGATTATACATTTTGTGTATTGTTATGATTTACCAGTGTTGACAATTTAGACCAGAAAGGTATATTCACAGCAATCAGTAGCAATACCCATCTCAATTCCTTTTATAGAATCAGTGTATAAATAAGAAAACAAATAACACCTGATGCTTTTTTGCAATTTTCCTTAAGATTTCACATCACTCCTCAATCCCCATGTACGAACCCATATCTCACTAAGCTCATGCCAGCCAGTGAGCCTGTTCCCCCACCTCTGGTGCATCATCACCCTCCAATTTCCACCCTTCACTGTCATGAGTGAAGCCTCCCGCACCTAAGTCAGGGTCTTCAGCCCCAGTGAAGTTCCTAGCTGGGAGTTCATCATGCTTGGGAGTGCCCAACCAAGTCCCTGGCCTCCCAAGGCCTTCCTTACTCAGACACAATGAGAAAGTTTATCTCACACCCCTCAGGGATCTTCTCCCACCAGGGCCACTGCCCTCATGTCACCATTGGAAAATACACGTCTCAATCTCTGATTCAAACACCTCTCCACCATGCCTTCCACCCCTAACTCTCTATGAGTTGGCTCCCCCTGGATGGTTCACAGATCCCTTCTACCCTAAGTGACAGATAATGAAAGGAGTCACGAGCATTACCGTGGATTCAAACCCTTTCTTAGCATGGGCTGATGGAGAAATCTCCATCCCTCTTCTGTGGTAGTTTCAGAGCTAGATGAAGCTGCTGCTGAGGTCCCGTCAGGCTCAGAGACTCAGGTGCCTGTACTTCTTCCTGGGTTGGGGCCTCTCTGCAACCTGGGAGCTGGTGCCATTCTTAAAAAGGTAGCTGTGCTGCCGGTCTAGGTGCAGGCTGTCTCCATGTGCTCAGAAGTGATGGTCACCCTGCAGTTGGTTTCTGCCTCCTTGTCCGCCTGCTCCAGGATGTTGGCAGTCAGATATTCAAGAATGGCTGCAAGGAAAATTGGTGTGGTGACCTCAGGCACTGGGCATGCTGACCGTCTCTCAGGAGGTGTTCTACACAGGTAATTGGAAACCTCCTCTCTTCATTCCTGGACTGGGAGAGGGTCTGCCTTCTGTGCCTACAGGAGCATCTTCTGCATTTTTCCCCAGGCATGTTTGGTGGATTTTGCACCAGTTAGCAAGGCTTGGTGTTTCAGCTGGCGGGAGTCTCTGAGGATACTAGTGCTTATTTCTGTTCATTGTATTCCTGTGTTCCAGCCTCTGATTGGTCAGTCAGGGCCTGTCTCTGATTGGTGGATCAGGGCCTGCCTCCTCGACAACCTTATCTTTGTGATGTCATTGGTGTCCATGGCTTCTCATCCTAATGACTGGACCCTCTTTTTGAGAAAATTCTACCTTTCTATTTGACTTTAACTTTCTAGCAAAAATTTGTGTCAATATAATCATTGCCCTGCCTTTAAGATACCATACCAGGTTCTCTATAACTTTGTGTTGCCTGTGAGCATGTTTACATCCCTCTGTAAACTGAACATGACTGATACACATACATAAGTTGAATGCCTTGCCCTGTAGAGGTCCGTCTGTTTCCCGTCTCATGTCATACTAAAACCAAATTTGCATTCATTTATACATTTATTTAAATATGTGTGATGGATATTTCTATGTCTGTTCTTTGGATTCTCTTTTAAACGACCGTGTTTCCCCGAAAATAAGACCTACCCAAAAAATAAGCACTAGCAGGACTTCTATGCATTTGTTTTTTTTTTTTTGTTTTTTTTTTTTTTTTGCGGTTTTTGGCCAGGGCTGGATTTGAACCCACCACCTCTGGCATATGGGGCCAGTGCCCTATTCCTTGAGCCACAGGTGCTGCCCCCTATGCATTTGTTAAATATAAGCCCAACCCTAATAATAAGACCTACTGATGGGCGTGTTTATGCAGCATATCTGCATAGCCACGCCATGCATTTTGGCGCAGAGAGGAAGCCATTCCCTTGAAAATAAGACTTAGTGTCTCTTCTTGAGAAAAAAAATAAATATAAGACAGTGTTTTATTTTCGAGGAAACATGGTATACCTGCGGTTGCAGGGGAGAGGCCTGTTTGCTACCCAGATGCACAGTGAAGGGGAAGACACCCCTTGGCTCAGGGGTCCTCAAACTTTTTAAACAGTGGGCCAGTTCACTGTCCCTCAGACCGTTGGAGGGCCGGACTGCGGGCCCCGGGACGAGTCGGCTGCTAAGCAGGCAGGCAGCGGCGGCTAAAACACCCGGCGGGCGGATAAATGTCCTAGAGGGGCTACACGTGGCCTGCGGGCCTTAGTTTGAGGACGCCTGCCTTGGCTAATCCTGGGAAGGCTTCACAGCTCTCCTTAGGAGTCACACATTTGTGGGTGGGCAGCTTGACAATGAGATATCTGGAAATATGAGGTTCACTGGGCATCACGTGGCAAGAAAGGGTTCTTGGGTTTGGACAGCACGTCTTCTAAAAAGCCTTGAGAACAACCCTGACACTATTCCCTCATTCTCAAGACACTCCTGTGGATTAGCCAAAGTCCAGGCGGATTCCTTCCGCTTAGGCAGGGGCAGAGAGAGGATGAGCAACCAGGAAGGAGGAGCAGAGAAGAAAGCTGAGTGAGGGCCATTTTGCCCGTCCCTCTGCCCTGTCTTTTCCCCTTCCAGCCCTCTCCTGTCTTGGCACAGGGTCAGACAAGCTGTGGTTCTCACAGCCAGTGCCCAGGTGCCCAGCAGTCACCTGAGAACCAGACCCAGCTGCACCCTGGAGAGGCAGGCCTGTGTGACTGGGGCTGGAGGAGGCAGACAGAGGCAGCTGTTTGTTAAGGGTTCCTTTGTGCCACATGTTGTGGGAAGCAGCAGTTTACAGGCACAGGGAACTGAATCTTTGGGCAAACCAAAGATGGAGGGATTCTTTTCACCTCCATGTTTTATATGAAGAAATCTCCGAGGGGAACTGAGATCTGAAACTCAGTCCCCTGGATTTTGTCACTGAAGACGTCATCTGGGCAGCCTGTGACAAGTCCTCTCTGAAAGGCCAACAGGCAGCTCAGGGTGGACCTTGGGAGTGTAGGGAACAGTAAACACCTCTAATGTGGGCACTGACAGGCTAGGGGACAGATTGCTATAACACTTGATGTGATACCTTTTGTAAACTTAGTACAGAGCATGAAGGTTATTGGAGTATCCTAAGTGCTTTTCAGTCCCTCACTTAGGACAGGAATACAGTTTCTTCTCATTCCTCTCAAGGCACGTTCTTGGTCACTGATAGTTGCTTGTTGTTCTATCTGGTATATTATTATTAAAATGAACACGTGTTTTATCTGAAAGTTTCTTGATACTTGTGTTTTAAATGAAATATTTTTAAATAAATTCCATTTATTCATAAATAATAACCATTAGGAGTTTCTTGAATTGCTTTTCTTAGGCCAGATTATACATTTTGTGTATAATGATTTACTAGTGCTTACAAGGTAGGCCAGAAAGATATATTCACAGCCCTCATTAGTAATCCCTGTCTCAAGTCCTTTTATGGAATCAGTGTAGTAATAAGAAAACAAATAACACCTCACCATAACCCCTATTTTGTATTTTTCCTTAATATTTCACATCATTCCTCAATCCCCATGTTGGAGCTCATGCCAGCCAGTGGACTCCTGTCCCCCTGCCTTTGTTGCATCATCACCTTCTGACTTTCATCTTTCCCTGCCATGAGTGAAGCCTCCCTCCCCTAAGTAAGGGTCTTCAACCCCAGTGAAGTTCCTGGCTGGGAGTTCTTCATGCTTGGGAGGGCCTATTTAAGTCCCTGGCCTCCCAAGACCTTCCTTGTTCAGAGACAATGAGATCCACCCCTCAGGGAGTTTCTCCCACCAGGGCTACTGCCCTCATGTCTCCATTGGAAACTGCACCTCTGAAATCACTGATTCAAACACCCCCCACTGCCCAATATCTTCTATCCCCACCTCTGTATGTGATGTTTCCTTCCCATTCCTTCTCATTCCCTCCCTCCTATTCCCTGCCATTACCTCCCTCTTATTCCCTCCCACTCCCTCCCATTCCCTACTTCTCATTCTCTCCCTCTCATTCCCATTCCCTCCCTCCCATTCCCTCCCTCATTGCCTCCCATTCCTTCCAATTCCCTCCCATTCCCTCCACTTCCCTCCCATTCCCTCCCATTCCTTCCCATTCCCTCCTTCCCTTTCCCTCCCATTCCCTCCCATTCCTCATAGAACCCCTGCTTCCCAAAGTGACAGATAACAAGAAGAATCAGAACCATCATCATGGATTTACATCCTTTAATAGTATTTTTGATGACAACAGCAGGGTATTTTCAGCTATGAGCTGTTTGGCTCTAGCTGATGCTTGGGAGGATCCCCTCCCTCCAGCTTCTGGATCTCAGTCTTCATCCAGTACGCCTGGCTCCAGGCATTTCGTCAAACAGAGAGAAGGGTGTATCCTTTGAAGAGCGGGAGGACTCACGGTTGTTTGACTGGCTTCTCTCTCCACCTTCTGAGTTGTTCATAAGGTTGTTGCTGGCCTCGGTGCCCACCATTTCTAAGATATAGTCAGTTAGGTAGTCGAGCATAGCAAGAAGGAAATCTGATGTGGAATAATTCACACATTGTCCATACTGCTCCTCCTGTAGAAGGTGGTCCACGCAGCTCACAGGTATCTGTAGCTCATTTCTAGATGAAGCATCTTGAGTCTGACTGGTACGCCCATCAGAGTTCTCCTGGTTTGTCTTCTCGGCCATGTTGTTGGCTGTATTTGGCTCCATATCAACTCTGCTTGTTTACCCAGATGGACTAGGTCTGTGGACACAGGGGCTTGGTGCTGTCCTTATATACTCTCCCCCTGTACCTCATTGGTCAGTGAACTAGCTGCCTCTGTGACATCATAGACATGAGGGATGTCACTGGTATCCAACGAGCCCTAATCAGGCCTCAGCCTAGAAATGTCTGTGACTGGGAGCTGGTTACCTGATAACTTGGCCCCAATTTTGACAGAACTGTAACTTTCCACTTGACTTTAACATTGTAGAAATAAATGAGTGTTTTAATGGAAAACTTTGCCCTGTCTGTAGGACACTGCTCTGGTTTCTAGCCTTGTATTGTCTTTGAGGGCTTTTACAAACTTTTGTCAGTTGTAGTCACTGAAGATCTTGTAAAATATATTCCCTAGTTGAGTTTCAAGCGTCTTTCTTCACACGGTGTAATCAAACAAGTTTTGCCTCTATTTACACACATTAAATTAATACTCCTAATGAATAGTCCCATGTCTGCTCTTAGATTCTCTTTTGAACCTGTTACAGTGTCTTTCTGTTTTAACATATGTTCATTTCACATTTTTTATGGCTGTCATTATCTTACCCCGTTTGAAAAACATGTTTTAATCATTTGAGGGGTCACAGTAAGACACTGAATGCTTAATGGATTCACCTGTGAGAGCCAGCATAGAGACGACTTCATGCTCAGTTCAAACCCAGGTATGTCTTTCTTGGCTCTCCTATGTGAAGCCATAGCACCAAGATGTTCCTTCTTTTATTGTATTTAATTTTCTTCTTCACTAATTTTGTGTTTCTCCTTTGTTTTTAGTTCACTAACAGCCAATAACTAGAAGGGAGAAAGTGAATGGAAGAAAAGGGTAGCTAATCCAAGCAATTTCAAATCCAACTAGACAAAACTCCATTAGTTTACAAGTCCTGGGAATAATATTCTGTGGCTTGAGATTCCTCCCTCTAATCTCTTTAATACTGTGACTTCACTTGGGTCCATAACTCTGCCCTTTGGTTCAAGGTTGTGCCCTCAGAATCATCTTTTCTTTATCTTGAATGGTAGAACATGTTTGTGCCTCTTAGCTATTATGAATAATGTTTCTATAAATATTCATATGTAAGTTCTTATGTGGACATATTTTCTTTATAAGGACAATGATGGATGATAAAGAGAATGAACTGTCATTGTATGGAATCACTCTGCCAAAAGAGGACAAGGCCAGCCACCGGCTAACTGTTTCCACTTCTGAGGCGCTGCACCCAAGCGCCCAGCTCTGGCCCTGGGACGGAGGGCGGGGGTGAGGGAGTGCGCATGTGCATGGAGCCAGAGAAGAAAGTGGTACAAGAAAAAAAAAGCCACTCAGCCGCCTCCTCGCCTCCCCGCCGCCTGCAGTAGAGCCCGCGGTGCCTGCGCAGTGCCTCACAGCTCTGGCTAATTCCTCCCAATCCCATTCAGCCCGCTTCAAATTGCTCACATGCCCAAGAACCTGTGTTTCGGCAAACCCCGCATTTTACCGGACTCTGGGGTGAATTAATGTTTATAGTGGTTCCCTAATTACTAATGCTGTTGATTATCTTTTCATGTACCTGTTCGCTATTTAGATTTCCATGAATCACAGACTGTTCAGAGATTTTACCCATGATTTTATTGGATTATCACATTATAATTAGCTGAGTGGTGTAAGAGAATTATAAGTGATCTTTTTATATTCTAGATATAAGTCCCTGGTCACCTAAATTATTTGCAAATATTTTTGTGATTGTATACACTATTTATAAAATAAAAAAGTTGTTGTTGTCATTAAAACAAAATTATTTCGTTCATTTGATGTTTAGAGGTGTCATATATGAGAAATAACTGCCCAAAGGCCGAACTAAAGATTGAGTCCTGCTGTTTTGTAAAGTGATATGATTTTAGCTCTTAGACATACATATTTGGTGTATTTTGAGTTAATCTTTAAGTATCCACTGAGGTAAGGGTTCAATGTCATTATCTGGCATGCGACTATCCAGTAGAACCAGTACCGTTTCTTACAAAAGCCTATTGCTTCCCTCTAATCCTGCAAAGCCTCCAAAAGGTCAGCTTCCAGCACACAATCAAGCCCCTGATGAGGACAACTGGGGAGGCGGGGGTTTTGTGCGGGTCATCGTAGTTCTCCTCATAAACCTGTCTTCCTGTTTTCAATGCCTTCAAATACGGGGGATGCAGTCCATCTAGGGGTATAATTCTCTAGTAAATGAATTTCTGCATAGGGACAACGGTGGACGTTAAAGAGATTGAACTGTTATTGTCCGGAATCCCTCGCCCAAGAGAGGACAAGGCCAGCCACTGCCCTCGGGTTCCTGCTCTTGAGGCGCTAACACAAAAGCTCAGGACTGGCGCCGGTGGTGGAGGGAGGGGGGAGGAGGCGGGAGTGCACATGCGCAGGGAGCCAGGGAAGAAAATGGTGTGACACAGTGAGAAAAAAAAAACAAAAAACAAAAAACGATTCCGCCTCCTGTCCACCCCCTACAGGACAGCCCTCGGGGCCTGAGCAATGCCTCCCAGCGCAGGCCCCCCCCCCCCCCCCCCAGCCAGCTTCCAATTGAGCACAGGCGCAAGGGCCTGACCTCGCGCAAACCCCGCATTTTCTCCCTCGACTCTGGGGTGATTTTCATCTTTATGGAATGTCATTCCAGTAAATGTGAAGCTATGTCGCATCGTGGTTTGGAGTTGTAGTTCCCTAATTACTAAAACCGTAGATCATCTGTTTATGTATCGCTCGGCGATTTACCTTACCTTGAATCAATGACTGTTCAGAGCCTTTACCCGTGATTTCATCGGACCTTCTAATCGCACCTTATAATGAGCTGAGCAGTATAAGAGCATTATAAGTGATCTTTCTATATTCTACATGTAAGTCCCTTGTCACCCAAACTATTTGCAAATATC